TATACAGCACATTGCAGCATTCCTAGTTTAAATACAATCCTATCTGATCATAGTTGCTGGCCGCCTCCATCCCTATATGACCACTGTGTCCATCTAATGATGGCTACTTCTAGCAATATAGTGTGTCACAAAGCCTAAATCACCTCAAACTGGTTTCTTAAACATCACTGTGAGTTCAATAAACTTAAACTTCCTCCACAGTCATCAGATCTCAATCCAATCGAGCACCTTTTGGATGTGCTGGAAGAGGAAACTCACATCCCAGATGTGCAGCCAACAAATCTAATTGATAAGCCTTCATATCAATATGGATAAAAATGTAAGAGGCACGTTTCCATTAACCTAGTTGAAAATGGGTGTCCAATCTGGTTCTAGCAATGTGTACATGACATATTAAATGGGGATTGTGAATGTTAAAAGCACTATTTTAAAACCCTCAAGATTGATGGTAGGTTAGAAACTTTTGGGTTGAACTTATTTGGTTGCATGATTTCAACAGGCTTACCCATGCAAGTCAACAACGCAAGTCTGGAATAGGAATAAGCCATTCTTTTTAGGTCATGGATTTTCATTTCTGCATTTTAAACATGCCAAGTATAAAAAAATAAAAACAACAGAAGTGACTTATAGAGAGCTTCTCTTGAATTGTATCCTTCAGAACTGCCTCTTTAAAACATAATGGTGTGGCTGCTGCAACCAGCTGCAGAAAAGTGTGTCAAACAATAGAGCTTCCTATTATTATCCTTAAACTCCAGGGAAACCAGAGAAAGAGCTTGAAAATGGGCTATTTTCCCATCTCTCAAGGCAGCAGATAAACTAACTTCAGAGTTGGTTGAACAACATACCTGTGATCTTTTCCATTTGCCCATATCAGGCACCATGCTGATCTCCTTCTTTGGCACCATGAAGTTGAAACCGACAGAACTGGGAGGTTTGTCATCCTCATGGGAGGAGCCTGTGAGAAACAAAAATATCAAGAGCACATCCAGTTTTTTTTATTCAAACCAAAAATATTAATTCTATACATCCTGTATCATAGATGTATAATACTAATATATATATATATATATATATATATAAAAGTAGTTAACTTGATAATTTTCATATTAGAATCATAATAATCATAATTTGAATGATCAAAATATTAGGTTACAGAGTGCTGGTCAAAATGATAAGAACACTTGCCATATTTAAGAGGTTTCCGTTGTTTTTGTCAAACTGGCCACTGCAATATCCATATTATAAAAGAAATATATAAGTCATCATTATGCTCTATAAACCATAGAAAAGAGCCATGATTAAACATGGGTTTCAATGTATTTTGCAGTTTGGAAAAGTCAAGGTTTTAAATTTGCAAAAACTTTCTGTTAAATAGTTTCTATGGTTTATGACAGCTCTTTTTTTTCGTGTTTTTGTTTTTGCTTTATTTTTTGGACAACAGAAAAAAAAGATATCCAAGGATGTCTTATTCAAGTTGTAAAGACGTCTGTGCTTTTGAAACTAAAGAAGATGAGTCACTGACTCATTTAAATTCTTTAGTAGGACATGTGTACTCTTGCAAAATATTTTAAATGATTCTCAAAACATAATTTGTGTTCGAAACCCCCTAACCCAGACGTTTAAAAATAACTTGTTTTAGAGCAGTGATCACAATACCATGATACCATGAAACTGTGATATTTTCATCCAAGTTTATCATACCGTCAGAATCTTATACCAGCCCATGCCTAGCCATGATAAGGTGATTTAGGTCATTTTCATCACAAGAAGAGAGGGAGAGAGAATTTTGAGTTTATTGACAATTCAGCTTCTTTGGCTATGTCAGATCAAGTTTTTATCACAAAAAAAAAAACAAGATAAGTCTATTTCATTGTCAATGTCACACAATTATGTTCTTTGACAATTGAAAGGAAAGTGTTCATGAAAGATTCAACACTTCATTACAATTTCTCAGGAAATGTTTTTACCCTATGTCAGAGAGATGTGCTGCTGTAATTGATTTTTTTGTCATTAGGGACAAGAGCTTTTTAGCCTCGATGTTAAAAATAGTACACAGGAAGCGTAAGCATTAGCAACTCGTTTACTAAACTAAAATGTCAATCAATTTACGTTACACATTGGTCGTTTTATGGGTTTTAACTGGTAACTTAATGGCAAAACACCGTGTCACTAGACTGGCATACAAATAAATATCCAATTAAATGTCTAGGCTGCAAGTTCTGTAGTGTGACCTAATTGGCAATGCAAACAAACTGTTCTCTCATTAATGTTACACTATCAGAGACAAAGGTTATGAATACACAGAAGCTAACAACGTAAATTAGTAAGTTACAGCCTACTTTTTAAAACTGAGAAACCTTGATGCTTTTCTTTATTACCATATGGGTTAACCAAGTATAATACTCGATCAGTAAAGGATTAAATGTGGCTAAAATATATATTACACAACCTTAAAACTAAAATTGATAATAACTGTTCACATTTAAGTCGTAATAACCTAAATATTCGCCATCGAGCAGAAGTGACAGACTCTCATCGATTCATTACATGAGGCGCGGCGAACCATAGTAAAGCGCTTTTCTGCACAAGTAAAGTCCCTTTCGTCCCTTCAAGTGCTGCACATCGACATTTATAATCTCCACATATCACTGCGGTCTCTGCGTTTGAATTAGCTCTGTTTAATTGAAGATTTGATTGATGTGAGTTACCTGACGCCTGTTCTGTCTCCGCCATGTTTACTGTGGTGATGAAAACACAACCCTTCAACTCTCACCCGCAGTTTCGCCTCAAATATATTCCTTGAACTTGATCAGCGAAAGTAAACTGCTGCGAGAAAAAAAGTGCCTGTTTCTGAAACCCATATAATTTTATATAATACTTAATTTGTGACTTCGGTTTTAAGTTTAGGAATCGCATTAGATTTTCTAAACTGCGTATTTTTATTTATTTTTGTAAACATTTAAAAATATATATTATCTCTACAAAAACTGTAAAAGGTTATTAATATTTTTCTATTACCATGTATCTCCATGTACATTTATGTGGAAAAAAATAGCTGCTACAACGTTGCATTGTCGATTCCAAATAGATAGGGGAATTTGTAAAAATATATATAGTGTGTAACATACATACACACACACACACACACACACACACACACACACACACACACACACACATATATATATATATATATATATATATATATTTAGTAGTTTTAATGGAAAATGTACGGTATTCTGGACCTTGGAATGCAGACTTTTACTTACGTTAAGTATTGTTTTGAACAGTTTACTGTGAAAATTACTTCAGAGTATCTTCTTTATGTATAGAAATAGATTCTATTTCAGATTATCAGTGAAACCTATCGATCTTTCAGTAGAAAGATGAAGCAAAAGATGAGAAGAGATGAGGCAGGTAACAGGGTTGCCAGGTTTGCATAACAAAACAATCCTTATTGCCAGTCAAATGAAGACCAAAGGTAGCCCACTGCACTCAAAATGTTCTATTTCCATCTATGACCCATTATTATGGAGTCAATCTAGGGCCATATATACTTGCAAAATAAAATAAAGTTTTGCAAAGAAAAAATAAAGTATTGAGTAAATGCAAATAAAGTATTAATAAATGCAAATTTCCAAAGCAAAGAAGAAATAAAAATAAATTTTGCAAACAAATGTAAAGAATTGCAAAAGGGAAAATTAATTTTCAGAAATAAAAATTAAATTTGCAAACAAAAAAAACTGCAAAAAAAAATCAAGCAGTGCACAAAAATTAAAATATTTGCAATTAAAAAAATATATTTTTTTGTAAAATATTTTTATAGCAATGCCTTTACAAAAACAAACTATACAAGGGAACTTGGGTGTTTATGGCAGGCCCAGACCATAGGCTAAAATATAGGGCCCAGACCTGGGCTGTAAGACCACTTTGGTAGTACACTATGGTGGTACATTGTTTCCAGGTCTGCTGTAAACGCTCAAGTTCCCTTGACTCCGCCCCTTGTCAAATCAGGGCCACAAAGTGAAACCACAGTCTATGAGTGAAACGCGCAGAAGCGTGATGTGCAAAGTGAAAACCGCTTTGCAAACTTATGGTTGACTAACAAGCAAATCAAAATGAGCATTGCAAATGACTGGACGGGTTTTGTAAAGGCAATGCTATAAAATGTTTTGCAAATATATAGAGTTGTTTTTTTAAATTGGAAATATTTTAGTGTTTTTGCACTGCTTGATTTTTATTTGCAGTTCTTTTTTGTTTGCAAATTTCATTCTTATTTCTTAAAACAATTTTTTTTCATTGCAGTTCTTTATTTTTGTTAGCAAAATACATTTTTATCTCTCCAATTTTTATTTTTGCTTTGAGACTTTTGAAAGTGTGCATTTATTTATTTTTGCTCAATACTTTATTTTGGGTTTGCAAAACTTTATTTTATTTTGCAAGTATTTATGGTCCTTGATTGACTTGATAAGTGTTAAAAGCAAGTCTTATTAGTTTGTGTATTGTGATTTTTCAGGATCCTTTGATTTAAAAGTATTAGTTTGAAAGTGAAACTGAAATCTTCACCTTCATTTTTAAAATAAATTTTATGCACCTATACAAAATTTATTACACATTAAATACATTTTAGTCACTATATCGCAGGGATCATGAACACAGCTGAAAGACTACCACTGACCCTCCTTCATAAATTCTAACATCAAATGCAGTTTTATCATAGATCAAATAAGAATTAAAGTAAAACCATATTTTAGTCAATTAAATATGTACAATATGTAAAACTTACTCGAACAAGGGAAGAAAATCAACCGTTTAAAAGAATGCAAACTTCCGCGTGGATGTGGCAACCCATTTTGTGGGTGTGTTTGGTTTGTTGTTATAGTCGCGCCCCCAGCGGCGAAAAGGAGCAGTGCAGCAGTGATGGCGCTCAGTGTTTTCCTTCAGCTCTCGTTTACTGGACTCTGACCGCAGTGATCTCTTCTGTCCCTCCTCTGAGGCCTCGATTTGGGGGCGTTTTAGTGAACTTCAGTTATGTTGGGCATTTTAGCCAGGACGATGGTGAGTAAGCAATACACATGATTCTGTTTTTAAAGATAGTCTGTTGTTTTATTCGACATAAACAAGGTTAGCTGACAGCGTGTAAGACGAGATGTTTCAGGGACATTCATGTTAATGGTGAGATAGCGGCAGTGCTAGGGTAGTTAGTAGGAAGTACCAATACATTCTTGACAGTTTCCTAAAATTAAGTACTTACATCGTGTGCATGTGTAAGTGGTTTCTACTTAATCTCTCCAAATGAATCTAACGTTGTGTTGTTGTTAATGTCACGCGCGACAATTTTATGTCATGTTAAATTACTGACAAGTGCAGTGCTGACTTGTGTATTTTAGTATATATGTCATTGCATTTACCATGTCGAATTATTAATACATAAAGGACTACATTAAATAGTTTTGTACAAATTAATATGCTAATATAATGATGAATACATAAGTGTCTTCAAAAATAATGACAATAAATATATTACAATGGCAAAGTTTCATATTATTTGTATAAAGCACACCTATTAAAAAGACATAACTTGAAAATAATTTCTTTCTCTAGATTTCTGATTTATAGTTATGAGTTTGAGTAAAATGAAATCCATATTTTACAATTTACTGATGTCATTTCTTTTAAAGAAAAAGGCCTTTTTTCCCCCTTACAGTTTAACAAAAAATGTGCTATGCTTTCAGATATGTTTATATTCAGTTGTTTTGTACACATAACAAATAATTTACATTAGAGCTGCTCAATATATCGTTTCAGCATTAATATCGCAATGTGATCAATTCGCAGTAGTCACATTGCGAGTATACGCAATGTTGAGTCTGGATTATAATTGCATTATAATAATAAAAAAAATTTTTGAGGCCTATGAGGGTTTTAAAAGTATTCAGGCTTATGTAATTGTACAGTTGATAAAATGTTTATAAAATAAAGACTTTGCAGTTTTATTTTACATTTGATTATTCAGTTTACTGTATATCCGAATACAGATCGACTCCTTGGAAAACAATAAACCGCAGTTTAAGTATTATCTTTTTCTTTATTGTATTTATCTATGCTTGTAGATTGTTTTTTACATTTTATTCATATACACTCCCAGATAGAATCATCCCAATCAATCTAAAATGATCAAATCTTTCCAAATATTTATTCAACACATCTAGTTAAATTGTGTATATAAATCGCAATATATACTGCAGAAAAAAAAATATTGCAATGTTAGGATTTTCCAATATAGTGCAGCCCTAATTTACATTCAGATGATTAAAAGTTAAGAAATCAATGTTTTGTGAAATATCCATGATGTTTAAACACAATAAAGTAAAAAAAAAATTTCTGACCAATTGTAGTTTTTTGAGGGTGTGAAAAGCTCTTAATATAAATATTAGTTCATTAATTTTCCTTCAGCTTAGTCTCTTTATTCATCAGGGGTCACCACACCAGAATAAACCTCTTATCCAGCATATGTTTTACACAGTGGATACTCTTCTAGCTGCAACCCAGTATTGGGAAACACCCATACACTCTCACATTCACACTCATACACTACAGCCAATTTAGTTCATTCAAATCAGCTATGGTGCCTGTCTTTGGACTGTGGGGGAAACTGGAACTAAATAATAACATATTTATTTGAAATGCAGTCACTCGTATATTGTCTGTGATATTTTTAGGTAAAGGCTGGCATGGTGAAACCTTCCGGCCTGGTAAAGCCAGTGTCCGTAACACGGGTTACTGGCCGCTACCTGACCCATCAGGAGGGTCTGCCAAAGCTTCCAGTGCCACCTCTCAAACAAACATGTGACCGATATCTGGCTGCCCTGGACCCCATCGTGGACCCAGAGGAGCTAAATCACACCCGAAAGCTGCTGGAGGACTTTCAGAAACCTGGCGGTGTGGGAGAGAGACTTCAGAAGGGCCTGGAGAGTCGGGCAGCGAAGTTGAACAATTGGGTAAAAACCTACTGTTGATTTGTCAGGAGGCCAGACTGGCTGCTTGTAAATGTCTGCTTTTTAAGACTCCTTGTTTCTCTTTGCTAGCTCTCTGACTGGTGGTTACAAACAGCCTATCTTGACTACCGGATGCCTGTTGTTGTCCATTCCAGTCCTGGGGTCGTCCTTCCCCGCATGGAGTTCAGTGACCGCCAAGGCCAGATGAGGTCAGTACAATGTGGGTTTGTCTGCTGTTAGAATGGTCAGATAATCTGAGCACTGGTCAGATGCTGTGTACTTCAAAATGAAATGTGTGCTGCTTTGAGCCCCTACTTAGATTTTAAAAAAGATTTTGAAAATCTCAACATGCTTGTTTTTGAATAAAAAATACACACTGGAAAGTTAGTAAATATATTTTACATGAACGTGATTGAAATCTTGGTCTTTATTTTTGTTAAATGTGTAACTAAAATAAACTTCTCTGACCACATTTCTTGAACTGCTCAATCTTGCAGATTCGCACTCTATAACATCAGAAAGGTCTAACCCTTCCTATCTGAACATGCAGCTCAACTCCTTGTTCAAGCTCTTGTTCTCTCCAGACTGGATTATTGCAACTCTCTACTAGCCGGGCTTCCAGCTAACTCGATCAAACCTCTTCAGCTGCTCCAGAACGCAGCAGCACGAGTGGTCTTTAATGAACCTAAAAGAGCACATATCACTCTGCTACTCATCCGTTTGCACTGGCTGCCAGTTGCTGCTCGCATCAAATTCAAAGCTCTGATATTTGCTTACAAAGCGACCTCTGGCTTTGCTTCTTATCTGCTCTCACTTCTGCAGATTTATGTGCCCTCCAGAAACTTGCCTTCAGTCAAGGAACGTCGCCTAGTGGTTCCATACCTAAGAGGGAAGAAATCACTTTCCCGAATGCTCGCATTAAATCTGCCCAGTTGGTGGAATGAACTACCTCATCCTACATCCCTCTCATCAGAACAGCAGAGTCACTCGCTGTTTTCAAGAAACGACTAAAAACTCAACTATTTAGTCTCCACTTTCCTTCCTAATCTGCAATTGCCTCTCTGGCTATACCACTAACTGTACTCAAAAAAAAAAAAAAAAAAAAAAAAAAAAAAAAAAAATTTTACTGATGCTCTCCTTCTTAGACTTTACACACCTGAAACTTGCCTAAAGCACTTATTCATTGTTGCTCTTATAGTTGTATAAATTGCTTCCTTGTCCTCATTTGTAAGTCGCTTTGGATAAAAGCGTCTGGTAAATGTAAATGTATAGTTATAATTAAATTAGTAATTATTAATGTAAGATTAAATATAGATAAAATATTTTTTATGTTGAATTATAATTATGGTTTGAATTTCATTTGGTATTTTTTTTTCTATGTGTAACCCACCGGTCTTAATGCACCCAATAGTCTGAGCTGGGATTAAAATATCGATTCTTTGTAATGGAGTCAGTTGCTTTAACAAGGAGACTAAAGACCATGGCCACTAGCCTCTATTGCTAGAGCAACTTTTGAAGTCAGAGGAGTGAGGTTTACCTGCACAGCACTTTGCTAGCTGGTCTCTGTTACACTCATCCCCCTAAACCTCACTCCCATTCTGGACGAGCCCCCATGTGTAACCCACCGGTCCTACTGCACCCATCCCACTCTGAGCAGGGATCGAACTGGCGATTCTTTGTATGGGAATCAGTTGCTCGAACAAGGAGGCTAAAAACCATAACCTGTAGCATGTGTCAGAGGAGTGAGGTTTACTTGCATAGCCTTTTGCTAGCTGACAACTGTTACATTTGTATAAATATTTAATATACAAAAACTTTTATTAACTTTTACTATTTTTATAAAAATGAAAGCTTACAATTTTTTTGTACAAAAATTACTCCTGAATCAAACCCATGACCTTAGTATTGCCAGCACCATCATGGTGCTACAGGAACAGGAAGTTTCAGACATTGCAAATTTTATTTTAGGCTCATTCAGATGAGTTATAACCACAGACAGTAGTTAACCAAGAGTGACGTTAGATCAGAGTGAGGTGGTTGTTTCCAGTTACCTCTACTGTGACCTTTATACACATTAACCCGCTCTTGCCAACTCAAAGAGAGCAAACCGTTGCTCTCAGTAAAGTGCTGGCCTGAAGCTAATCTCACCACATCTACTAAGATGAAAGCCAAAACTGTTCACAGATCAGCATTAAAGTGTGTAATGTGTATATAATGCATGTAAACGTCAAACAGCAAGTGCTACCGTAATAACATGTAATTAATCAACTGCAGTATGTTGATGTTAATCCTAAAATGACTATGTTCCTTACAGATATGCTGCTAAATTGATTGCAGGGGTTTTAGATTTCAAGAGCATGATTGACAAGTGAGTGACACATACTTTCCTTTCTTTTATTATTTAAAAGTCAATCAGTTGTCTGTATGACTGTTGCGATGTGTGTATAAAGTTCATACAGTGTGTTCCAGTCAGTCATCATGTCATTGCTCTTTGATTAGTGAAACATTGCCGTTGGAGTATCTGGGTGGAAAGCCACTCTGCATGCACCAATACTATCAGGTGCTCTCGTCCTGCCGCATCCCTGGAACAAAGAGGGACACTGTGGTCAACTACGCCATGGACAAAAGACCCTCCACACACATCACTGTGGTGCATAACTTCCAGGTTCGTCCCTAGTATCCTATTCTTCAGTCACACGGTTGTCAAAATTGCACTGTTGTTAGTCATAGTTTTTAACTTTATGCAGAAATAATGTAAAATAATCTTCCCGTACTCAAAAACATTACTACTAAAAAATTAAATTGAATAACATATTATTAATCTTTATTGTAGTTTCATCAGTTTCTTCAATGTTCATGAACATACAAATATGGCATCAGTTACTTCACAAACATTATTAAAAAGGGTTTTAGTTCCCCTCACTTTATTTCAGTGGTTCCCAAAGTGGGGGTCAGGACCCCTCGGGGGCGTCACGGGACAATCAGAGGGGGTCGCCTGGTGATTTTCAAAAGTCAAATTGATTTTATTAAACTGTTAGAACTACCATATTTTATCTATAATCTACTAAAGAGCAACTTAGTAGTTATTAGTAACATTGTTAGCAGGTTAATAATAAACATAAAAAATAACATGCAAATAAAAAGAGACAGCAATAGCGTCAAATGCAGCAGATTGATTTTATGGCACCAGGTTAAGCTTTCTGACAACCAGATGGCCTATGAGCGGTGTTCTCCACAATTAAAGGATGAAAAGACTTGGGCCTATTGGTATTTGTGTGTCGTTGTGTGCAAGGTTTTATATTTATAACCACAGCACAGAATATTGAGTGTCGCTAGTAGTGACTGGCATTTTTATTTTGGAGATCACGGGCTGATAAGTTTGGGAACCTCTGCTCTATTTAACAGTGTCCAGAACAGGAACAAAAGGGATAAAAAATAAAGCATCAAAACAAACATAAATAATAATATCAACATGCTTTGAACATGTTTTGTTTGGTTGATGTTATTTGCATTATATCAGTCACTTTAGAATATAGATCCTGGCATATTTCAGATATAAAAAAACATTGGATCTCATTTATAAAACTTTGCATAAAAACCTTCCTAAAAGGGAATGTTTTGAATGTATTAATTAATGATCATGGCTCATATGATGATTTAAAGGGCTTTAATTAAATAAATATTTTAGTTAAATAAATTTACTTAAAGCTGCACACATTGTCCCATCAAGTTTTTTTTTAATAGATTACAACTTTTGATTGAGAAGTGGCTTATGTATGTCCCCCTCCCCCCTATTTTTTGTGTACACCATGTTTATAAATGAGACCCAAAACAAAGATAGAAGTAAACAAAATCCTCCCTCTGTCCCTTTACCTCTCAAAAGACAACTTTCTAGAATTTTCAACCTACAAGGTCTTTGTTATAATTTTAACCCAAAATTATATATAAAAAATAAAATAAAATAAACATTGCTACGAAATAAACCAAATAAGACTTTCTCCTGAAGAAAAAAATATTATCAAACATACTGTGAAAATATCCTTGCTCTGTTAAACATAATTTGGGAAACATTTAAAAAAGGAAAAAAAAAATCAACGAGCGTTTAATATTTTGCATTTCAACTGTATATGCTGCGTCCCAATTCGCATACTTATATTACATGCTAAAAGTGTGTACTTTTGTGTTATAGAAGAGTATGCAAGCTTTGGCAAATACTTTTTCCTCTTTAATAGATTGTTATGTTGCTTGGTTACGTCCCCTGTCAATCATCTCGACACATTATCCACATTTCTTTCATATTTAATTACATACCTTATAGAATAAGCAGGATAATTTGTCCATCACTAGTCTTTTATGCAGAGAAGTCTCCTCAGGTCTTTGGATAATTATGCATTCAGAAGTTAATGTCCTAACAAGTCTTAATAAGCTCTTTATTGTTGTTACTGATGAAATATAACATGGAAAACGCGATTTAAATATTTTCCAGTTGGCAAGGTATTATTTAATAGTCATTCAAACAATTATGGTTGATCTCTATTTGATGGTTGGTCTCATGCATCCTCTGTTTGTTGTTTTTTTTACACTTTTTACCCGAGTTTGTAGTAATTTACTTTGGACACATTTACATGGACGGTTCTACATTTCAAATTTTTACTGTTTGAAATGTTAAACCATCTGAGAAACTTTGGCATACTCTTTTTAACATATTATGGTTTAGGACATACTAATTCTATTATTTAATACTATTTAGGATGAACTGGGATGCAGCAACAGTCATAATTAAGGCATCACACCTGCAAACAATAGCCATAAGTAACTAATAAATAGGTGAATAGACACTCACATTTCCCAGTTACTCAGTAGTGTAAGGCGTCACAGTCGGGTTAACTTCGAGCGCAGTGAATAGGAAAGCACAACAAATCATTTTTGATTTGCTGAAATAATAAAAGAAAAACTCCACAATGGTGTTATCAAGACTTTCAGAAAAAGGAAAAAAATGTGTGAGACTGATGACGGCAGGCAGAGAAGAGAATATAGTCAAATTTACTCTCAGTCCCATAGACGCTGCCTTACAAGTACCTAGCTACAGCGGTAATTTTCTTTTTGTAATTTGACACAAATATGATACAATCAATCATAAATTCATATAAATGTTAATACAACATTTAGTTAAAAAATGTAATATTAAAAACTTTCAAGTATTTAAAATTATGATGACTGTTTAACGCATTATGTTAGTTTTTCGAAAAGGGTGCATGACATAAGAGAAAAAGAGACCCAGACGTTGTCCAATTCTAACTTTAAAAATGTACAACCTATAAATATTTTTCACCAGTCATTATAATATATTGCATACTTTTTGAAAACATGTTTTTATTAATGTATTTATTTTCCTGCATCCAGGACTTGTTGTTTACTTTATGACTTGCTACTTGATGGTGAACAGTAATACATATAATATCTTGTTCTTTTAACTTGTAGTTCTTTGTGCTGGATGTGTACAACAGTGACGGCACACCACTGACTGTAGACCAGATCTATATACAGCTAGAGAAGATCTGGAACTCCTCCTTACAGACCAACAAAGAGCCAATTGGCATCCTCACCTCCAACCACCGCAACAGCTGGGGCAAAGCTTACAACAACCTCATTAAGGGTGGGCACTCACTCTGCAATTTATTTTTAGGCATGTTAATAGGCTAGTAACTAAAGAAATATAGTGCACAGCATATATGAGTAAACCCCTTATAAATCTGTTTATATTTTTAATAGGAAGCTATACAATGTTATATCAGTGCATATACATTAGATTAGTAGTTAGTATTGAAGCCAAATCTGGAGCTAATCTAATAAAAAACCTTACGATAACTACTAGTTACTACAATAAAACTAGTACACCTAAATTTTTATGCTGCTTTGACACAATCTACATGGTAAAAGCGCTATACAAATAAAGCTGAATTGAGTTTATATATTGTAGAAAAATATTAAATACAAATTTAAAAAGAGGAAAAATCAAGAGAAGCGGGAAAAAAAATGAAAAAATTAGTTTAATTTTGTTGGTTATAATTTTTTTGTGGCAGCACTAATGCAGTCGATGTATCGGTCCGTTGTGTTAAAGAAAGAGCTGCGCCAAAAAGCGAAGCTCTCGATTTACCAGTCAATCTACATTACTACTTTTATCTATGACCAAACTACTACCCAAAGCTCATGGCCGAAAGGACACGATCTTGGATCTCGGATATAAGCTGCCAAAATAAGTTTCCTTATCTGGGTGGCAGGGCGCATCTGGGAGAAGCTCGAGAGTAGAGCTGCTGCTCCTCCACATTGAGAGAAGTCACCTGAGGTGGCTCGGGCATCTGTTTCTGATGCCTCCTGGACGCCTACCTAGGGAGGTGTAGGGAGGTGTAGGGCCTCAGGAAAGACACAGGACAAACTGGATAGACTATGCCTCTCGGCTGGCATGGGAACGCCTCGGGATCCCCCTGGAGGAGCTGGAGGAGGTGTCTGGGGAGAGGGAAGTCTGGGGTTCTCTCCTACAACTGCTGCCCCCCGCGACCCGGCCCTAGAAAAGCAGAAAAAAATTAGATGAGATTTTCTAAATGGGGTGTACTCAATTATGCTGAGCACTGCATGTTATATACAGTTTCAACATTTGGAATCACCATTGTAATTTTTATAAGAAAATTAAAACTTATTATAACTTTAAATGCCTTAGATGGGGACTAGTTTGTTTAGGTTTGTTAACAGGGTAAATGTTTGTTTCTATACAATGATACTGTATTCTATTCTGTATTTCGCTTCACAATTAATAAAACAGTTAATCACTAACAAAGTTAAAACATTTGTTCAGCAATGATATATTAAAGTGCTTATATTATACTGTTTATGATATTATAAATTATTATTATTATTTTTAAAAGTATCTCAGACTTTCAGGATATAAAAGGAAATAAATTTGTTACAAATTAACTCTAAAATAAAGTAGATAACTGCATTTTGTTTTCAGCAGCAGTTCAGTATTTTTTCTGCAGAAATTTTAAAGAAAAATTCATGTTAAATTGTTATAAGCTATGAACCTAACTAACCGTTATGAGGAGAATCACAACATTACAACCTCTCAGTTGAAACAAAGTAGTAAATAAAGGTGATCATTATTAGTGAGGGAAAGACTACAATGTCAATGGCATTGACGCAATCAAACTGAAAATGAATCAAATGTATTAGTTGTATCAATATATATATATATATATATATATATATATATATATATATATATATATATATATATATATATATATATATATATATATGTATATATGTATGTATATGTATGTATATATGTATATATATATGTATGTATATATATATGTATGTATATATATATGTATGTGTATATATATATATATATATATATATATATATATATATATATATATATATATATATATATATATATATATATATACACACACACAAATAATTTGATAATTATAGTGTGAAGGCAGATGCAATACTGCCATTCACAATGCTTAAAGGAGTGGAGATAAAGACGGCGTGCTTTAATTTTTGAGTCTGATTGGTGGAATATTCTGTACAGCATCATGGATAAAATAACAAACTTGTTTGCTTTAAATTTACTACATTGACATAATGCAAACAGATGGATTTAACAAAAGCAAATACAATTGATTAACAGTCTCAACTTTTTTTAAAGGTTTATCAGTGTTAAAAAAAGGACAGCTTGTCACTCTAATAGATTGCAATAATAGCAGGTGATGACAATTATCTAATCAGTTTTCGATTTATTAATTCCTGTTTGTCTATTTTTTTAAGAAAAGGCCATTACATCTTAAGTTATTTCTTATTACCTTCAGATAAAACCAATAAGGAGTCCGTGAGAGCCATCCAGAAGAGTATTTTCACAGTCTGCCTGGACGCCCCGATGCCACGTGCTTCTGATGACATGTACCGGACGCGAGCGGGAGTTCAGATGCTGCATGGAGGAGGCAGCCGGTGGAACAGCGGAAATCGCTGGTTCGACAAAACACTTCAGGTTAGACCTATGAGCTATGTATCTTCATTAACATAATATTAACAAATCAAATATTAGAGATGAACCACATGAAAGATGATGGGAAAGACTGTTCATGTTGTGTTTGTAGTTTATTATAGGAGAGGACGGGACATGTGGGCTGATCTATGAACACGCTCCTGCTGAGGGCCCTCCTATTGTGTCAATACTTGACCATGTGGTGGAATACATGTAAGACATAAAATGAAGACATTTTACTATAAATATAACTATATAACAATAACCACATCAGCTGTCACACCATTAAACTTTATTTATTTAAAGAGTATTTTGCTTCTGTTTCTAATTGCGCCAGCTCTTTAAAGCAGGGTGGATTTTGATTTATCTGTCATTGTTTTCATCATTCAACATCTTTAAAAACGATTCTGAAAGGAATTTTAAAATTAAAGCATGGTTTTTATGTGCAACTTTTCATTGGACTCCTGTTTTTAAAATAAATGCTTATTGTTATTGTTATAATTATCTTTTTGATAAGTGATATTCTTTAGTGGAAAAACTGCTTTTCAAGTGGTAGATGGTAACTAGTGTACACTGATAAGCTTTACCCTTCTGCTATATTTGCACAGGAAGAAATCAGAGATGGTTCGCACCCCAATGGTCCCACTGCGTATGCCTCAGAAGCTTCGTTTCAACATCACACCAGAAATCAAAAAAGACATTGAAGACGCCAAACAAAACATGAACATGTGAGATTTTCATTTACAGTTTGCACTACACACTTTGACTCAATTGTATGTGGGATTTAAAAGCTTCGACTTTTGAATAGATGCAAAGAATATAGCTATGAAAAGACCATTCAATCACGTTACATTGAATGAGGAAAAGTGTTACGCTCGGTATGTTCGCCACAGCATAGAACGTCCACAAATATTGTGGTCATAATGCCAATTGCGTTGCAGGATTTTTTACAGGATCACTTTGTTGTTAGCCCTGTTATTTTCAACTAAGGGCCTTTTCGCACTATGCTATCCCAACTGTGCCCAGGCCCGTTTCAAAGATCGTTTGAGAAGTGTTAGTGCGCTGAATCGGACTCAGGCATGGTTCACTTGGCCGGCCCTGGCCTGGTAGGAAGAGGTGTGCCAGAGCGCGGTTCACTTGGTCTTTGGTGCGGTTTGCTTTTTAGTGTGAGTGCAAAACGCGCCCTAGCCTGAAACTGAAGACGAGAGGTGACTTTTACGGGACTGTTTGATATAGATTAATTATTCTTACTGTTCAATGAACGCAGACTGTTGTAGATTATTGAAGACGCAAACCCCTCACTGCACCACAGCTGCACCTTCAGCAAACCTCCTAATTCCTGCAACACGAGGACTTCATGATTGTTTATGAGCGTCAAAAGTGGCGGATCTGTTCGGCGAAATGTTTGACTGCGTGTCACCGCATATCAAACGGCTAAACTAATAAAACTAAAGCAATCTCCACTGTGCTGAAGCGAAAACGCTTACTGATTAGCGGGCCATCGATGACGTAAGTGCGCCCAGGCCCAGATGTAATGTGAGTGCGGGCCATCGGGGGAGACGGGAGGGGGGACAAGTGTGCTTTGGCCTGGTTCAAGGCAACTGTACATAGTGTGAGTACGCCCTAATATGTGCCTGCATGGATTTTGACAGGAGGAATCAATTTAGGAACATAGTATTCACCAAACTGCATTCTCTGGTTAACATTAAACAACTGTAAATGAGATGGGTGTTAATTTTTAGCTTGAGCAATCTGGAAGAAACATGGCTAAATGTAATCAGTGCTTAAGCAATAGCAATAATGGGACAGGTCACTTCAGATTTTATTGTTGATTTCAAAAATGTATGTTAATTGTGAGTTCAGTGAGCAGTTTTCTGCATTGCACCATTCATTTAGAAAGGACATTGGTCTTGGATGAACTGCCCGGAGGCGAGTTGAGTTGGGGTTCTGTGAATTTTAGCTAAACTCGAACACCTATAAGGTTTTGAGAAAGTTAGTGATGGTTTCGTAAATGCTTTTAGCCCTCTTTTATTTTAAAAACTGTAAATAAATAATGTGATAGTATCTTGGGAAAATGTAAGAATGATTGTTTCTCTTCTTCTTTTTTACAGCATGGTTCATGACCTGGACCTGAGAGTCAATGTGTTCACCCATTTTGGTAAAAATTTCCCAAAGTCTCAGAAGATGAGCCCTGATGCCTTTATTCAGATGGCTCTTCAGTTGGCGTACTATAGGTAAACCTCACCAGCAGCACCATTATTAATATTTGCTATTTTTGTAATGTAGCTAATGATCAGTTACATATATTTAGTTGATGTGTGCACTGATTGTTTCAGGATTTACAAGCGCTGTTGTCCCACCTATGAAAGCGCTTCACTTCGCATGTTCAGACTGGGCCGAACAGATACGATACGCTCGGCATCCAGCGACTCCGCCAGCTTTGTCAAAGCTATGGACGATCCTGTCAAACATGTGCGCTCCCCTCTTTTACTGATTTGTATTTCCAAATACTTTAGTTGAGAAGTTTCTGGGTCAGTAAGATTAATATATTTTTCATATTTGTATTCAGTTGACTAAAAGTGAGAGTAAATAATGTTAAAGTGGCGTTCCATTCATCAGTAAATACTGGGAAATCATTCACGAGGGTCATTTCATCATGTTAGCATTATTTCAGCACGATCATGTGACACTGGACTGGAGTAATGACTGCGGAAAATGGACATTTTTTAAAAGATTTATTAAAGAAAACGTGCATTAAATTTACATCAAATTACAAAAATAAATCACTGCATATGCAATGTGTTTCTAATGCAGCGTCTATGGGCATGAGTAAATTTGATGTGTTCTATTCTCTTCTCTCAATATTTTCCTTCTTCTGGAAGTCTTGATACCAGTACTGTACTCTTCTATTCACTGCGCTTTAAGCCTCACATGAACATTTTAAAATATATTAAATTAGAATACTTATTGTAAAATCTACTAATATTTAACAATATTACTGTATTGTTTTGTATTTCTGATCAAATAGTAGCAGTTTCTGTGAGGAAAATAGATGCCTTTTAAAAAACATTTTAGCAATCCTCCTGACCCTGTACCTTTGAACAGTAAATTATATCATTTATGCAAAAGTGCATTTGTAAAGTGCTCTAAATGGTAACAATCTTCCTTTTTTTTAAATGATCAGAACACAGAGAAAGTGGCTCTGCTGGACAAAGCCGTTAAAGCACACAGATCTTACACAGATATGGTGAGAAAACGCATGCTGGTGATGTTCAGATGGTAAATGTATCGGTTATTACTGGACCACACTAAATCTTCTCCACATTCTTTATCTTGTGTGTGGATGCGCAGGCCATTCGAGGTCAGGCCATCGACAGACATTTACTGGGACTGAAACTACAGGCTATTGAAGATCTGGCTGCCCTGCCGGAGATATTCATGGATACCTCATATGCTGTGGCACTTCACTATAATCTCTCTACCAGCCAGGTACTGCTAATTAATGTGAAAGCACTGATCTACGGTCAGAATAGTGTAAATAAACCCTGATAAAAAAAATTGTGTTTTTAAATTAAGATTTGACATCATGAGCCGTACAGCACAACTGAACATCATTTTTTGTGATGTTATAAGGTTATTGTTTATTTAACAATGAATAATTTATGTATTTATTTTTATAATTTTAATGAATGTTTGGTGCTTGTTGAATTTTTAAATATACATTATAGGTGACTCATTTGCACACAGTTGCCAAGATCTTGTCATGCATGTACAAACCTGCTATCGTGCATTCCACTATTTTATTTGACTATTTTATTATTATTTTTTTTGATTTTACAAATCACATATTTAATTGAACTATTTTTCCTAGCCAGTGTTTATTTACATTTTTTATAAAATTATTGCATTGGGAAAAATCATCATAACTCATGAGAGTAAGAAAAACTAAAACTGAAGTATAGTACACGTATTACATGTATTTCAGGCAATAGTCTTTCGATGTAGTTGATCCAAATCTAATGTAAAACGTTTTTTCTGGATACAAGCTTCAGAGCTTTGATATCAATCATAGCATCACTAGTAATCTTCAGACCATCTCTAAATACATATTTCTAGACTTTTGTTTTTCCTCTTTTTTCTTCCAGGTGCCAGCTAAAACTGACTGTGTGATGTGCTTTGGGCCGGTGGTGCCTGATGGTTATGGCGTATGCTACAATCCCATGGATACCCACATTAACTTTGCAGTATCTGCGTTCAACAGCTGCCAGGACACAAATGCTGTCCGTCTGGCTCAGGGTCTGGAGGACGCTCTGCTGGACATGAGGACCCTGCTGGAGCAAACACCCAGAGCCAAGCTTTAAAGACTGCCACAATCACCAGTTCAGTTTACAAAAACACTTAAAAGAACAGGCATTTTACAAAGAGAGTTTTACAATTCAGCAGTCTGCATCAGAGTCACCTGGACTGCTTTTGTTGACAAGCTTCTACACTAAATGTTTATCTTTTACTTTTTATGTTAATGTACTCCAAGATTAACATATAAAAATTAATTTATAATTTGATTTGTTTTTCATTATTGACAATGTACCCAAAAATATGCATTATGGTGAACCCGTTGTTGAAAATGCTCATGTGAATGTAGATGTAAATTAGATATTAAATGTAATTAAATATATAAAAATGCCATAATGTAAATAGTGACATTTATAACCATTTTCTTTGTACATTGTTGTAAATTTCCACATGCTTTTAATAAATATTAATACTTTAATAATGGGGTCAAAATTCGGCTTGGACCATACCTTCATAGTCATCTGTCATCTGTTGTTTTGTACACACACACACAAATAATATATATATATATATATATATATATATATATATATATATACATACATACATACATACATACATACATACACACACACACACACCAGATGCAGTAGTACATCTAAGAACAATATATTTCTTATCCCTTGTGGTTTAAAAAGTTTTTACTCATTATTAACTCAGTATCACAATAGTGTATGAATAAGATAAATAATGGTTGTACTTTTCTGCATATATTATTTAAACAAAATAACCTGTCACAATTGGTCAAAGTTGCAGTTATATCACTAACCCCTAGGGTCCTCAATTGATTCTCGATGATCAATCACGAACTCGTCACGTGCTTTCTGTAAAGTGTGTGCGTTTTCATCATACCTGGGTTGATCAGGTCACGCAGAAGAGCAAAATGCATATATAAGTCCGTCAAAGACACCCGCGCTGATTCAGCTTTACTGATCCTCTGATCTTATAGTAGGCCTATGGAAAAAATTAGAGACGTCATTCCTGATTATCACGATGGGGATTTTCTGTGCCCTAAAAGTGGGTAAGTATGATAAAAGAATATACTAACATGTTTTTGTCCAGTTCAGTTTAAATATTGAGGAAAATTAAAATTTTTGGACAATTTCATTATTGTAGGATTATTTTATACTCTGTTGTATTAAATGTGTTCAAGCTTTATTGAATTTTGTATTTTATAATTATACTAATTTCATTTGTCATTTACAGATTAAATGACAGTCGGTTATTTGATGTAGTTAGTGATATATTCTCCTAGATTGCACTTTTATGATAATGTAATTGACTATTTTTGGATTACTTTTAGATTACTTTTGTGCTAACATTTATTTGACTATACAGATGTTACAGCCATGTTTCATTTTAACAACAATAGACTTAGCTTCTGTTTAAAGCGCATTGTATGGACAGTAAATACTTCAATACCTTGCTGTTAGTGTTTCCTAATATTATCACTAAATAAACACTTGTGTCTTCACTTTGTGTCTGTTTTACATACAAAGGGGGTTGAAAAAACGAGTTACAGGACAAAGTATTTATCGTGTGCTGACAAGATTAGTTGTTAAATGTTCTGATTTCATTAAAAAGGTGTCAAAAAAAAGTTAACTTTTGGTGAAAAATACTATTCATGTTTTTTAACAAAAAACCGCAAAGCACTACATGGACCAGGTCAAATCCTGATATAAAAGAAATAAAAAAAAAATGTAAAACTAAGAAAAAATGTCCTTACCTGCATTGCGTCATGGGGCAACATGTTTGCTAAGATGTCAGCTTCATGTTTTAAACAGTCCATCTTGAAATTTGAACTAACAAAAGCTTAAACATCATTTGCTTTGCACATCATCAAAATAAACTTCAGTCACGCATTTCTTATGCTAAGATCTTTAGAAACGCCATGTAAAGTTTTTGTTTTGTTCTTCTTTTCATCCACTGACGGAACAGTGGCTGTGTGTGACATCTTATCTAACATGTTTTCCCCCCAAAGGCAGTAGCCTATTGCTGTTGTGGTTGTTGCAAATATCAGAAATATTTGGATTCTACATTTTATGGCTCCTTGAGCATACATAAAACAGCCATTTTACTTGTTGACAGCACTTATGGAAGCAGCACATGCACTTTGATGAGGTGAAACCCCTCCTTTGGTAATTTCATTCACATGTTGTTGATTACAGTTGATTTAGTTTGGCTTCTGGAAATCTGATCTATAGAGGCACGCTAGTGACTGCTATCCTAGCTTAAACAGCAATATAAGAATTGGAAAAGGAGGAATATCATTACGTCTATTTTTCTGAGGCTTCTTAGCCTGTTCCTCAGTGACCGAAAACTGGCGGCCATGTCAGCTGTGTGGGATACTGACTATCTGTGGAGGGAGGTCCAAGGGTCAGTGCTAGTATCTGATTTGTGTCTTCTTTCATCTGGATGTATTTATAAATGATAGACTGGACCTTGCTGTCCTGTAACTGTACTTTGGTTTAAAAGTTCTAAAGGTTTTTGATATAGTGTATGCTGGTCCTGTATGTCTTTTGTGATTGCCATTCATAGTTGACATTTTTTTTCTGTAAATTAAATTGTTTAAAATCTTGACCTGTTCTCAACTTTACACTTTTAACATTGTATCATTCTGCATTTTAGTAATAGCTGGGTCCAGTGTTCTGTAAAAACCTGAGTGGACCAATTTGAAGTTTCCTAAGCAATTCTTCCACTGTTTTTATAGATTGAAATCCTACAATCAAAACAAGCTACAAGTTTAATATCCTGTTACAAATTGTAACAGGATATTAAACTTGTAGCTTGTTTTGATTCGTTTGAAAGATTTTCTAAGAACAATGTCATTTAAAATGGCTACACACTACATGTCACATGATATAAAGTCACACTGTGACACATCAAATCATAGTTACTGTTAATACTGTGAAGAAATATAGGCTAAATTATAATTATGCAAACAAAAGGGACAGACAGATTGATTTAATGATTGTGTAATAATTTTTAAGGGGTTTTAGCTTTATTTGATAGGACATTGTAGAGGGAGACAGGAAAGAATGGGGGACAGAGGAAGAGAGGGGAAGGATTGGCAAAGGACCACGAGCCTGGAATCTAAATCGGCTGCCATGAGCTCCTCAGTGCTCAAAGTAACAACCCCATTGACTTGTGAATCCCACTATCCTTGGAGGTGGTTATAAACATGCAAAACTTGCACACAACGGTGCACACACGACCACTTGAAGACTTAAATTCAGGAGTTTACATTTGTATGTTGCCTCATTACAAACATATGCAGCAAATTTGACAATAATACACCTGTTTGGGGTGGCACTGAATAAGCTAATATTCTCAGTCTTACCTGAATTTTTTATTCTAATGAGGTGTAAACTGATAAGATAACATTAATAAGGTCCATGCACCCCTGCTGAAAAATCCAGCTTAAACCAGCCTAGGCTGGTTGGCTGGTTTAAGCTGGTCAACCTGCCTGGTTTTAGAGGGGTTTTAGCCATTTCCAGCCTGGCCTTAGCTGGTCAGGCTGGAAAATGAACAGTCAAATCCGGCTAAAACCAGCTTGACCAGCCTGGTTTAAGCTGGATATAGCTGGTTTTGGCTGGACTCCCAGCTTGGCTAGGCTGGTCAAGCTGGTTTTAGCTGGTCATCTCCCAGCCTGACCAGCTAAGGCCAGGCTGGAAATGGCTGGAAACCAGCCTGGAAGTGGCCAAAACCACTCTAAAACCAGGCTGGTTGACTAGCTAAAACCAGCCAACCAGCCTAGGCTGGTTTAAGCTTAATTTTTCAGCAGGGACTGTACACAATACCTGTTAATTAACCTGTTTCCGTATTTTGTGATTCACAAGCATTTTTCGTTTATTTACTGTTATGAAATGCATGATGAGACCTCAATCTCTGATCTGTCGACTTTCGATGTTAAAAATTCATCTCAACAGTTTAATAAAGTGACTTTTATTGACATTTTAGTAGTTTGAAATAATTTAATATATAAGAAATACGTCACTTTTATTAACTTTTTAAGGCTAAAAGTTTTTAAAAGAAAGATTGAGACCAAAAAATGCAATTCAAAAGCATAAATAAACAAAGGAAAATAAAAAATAAAAACATGAATCACAAAATACAGAAAACTGCTAATTTACGAATATTATTTTACAGTGTCTCACATGCATAGGAAGTATAATGAGCTATGGTATAGCTAGAGAATAGGGGGAAGGAATGATAGTTGTTGTAATTTCACTAGGAAACATTGTGACCAATCAAATACATTAATTTGTATTTGATTTTGCATTACTTTTTGTGTACATTAATGATCACGTGAGTAATATCAGAGTCTGTGTTTTGTTCCGATCGGCCTGGATATTACACTCAATTGATTTACACCTTACTGAAAGAACAAAGGGGTTTGAGACTCTTGGTGTGTCATTACCATGTACTAAGCTCCTATTATTGAGCTATATCTAGGTATATCAAGATTTTCATTGTATGGCACCTTTAAAAGATGGCAACGATCATATATAAATAGCAGATGGTTTGGGATTACATCTGTGTGCATTCAATTAAAAGTCAGAGATACATTTATGTTGGGGAATATATAACATGCTTATGTCTTCATTCCTCAAGGGCAAAGCTGGCCTCTCTCTTTGGTCTGGACCGAGCAGAGTGTCAGGGAAATGAGTCCTTCCAATTCACCGCCCCCAAACAACCAAAAAGGACAAGCGGTGTATTAGGTATGTGGTACAATGGCAGTCATGTAGCCTTTTTTGGCACAGTTTATTGTGCTTTTAGCATTAACATGTAATGTTTTTAATGTTTTTTAAAGGGCTGCCTCCTAAGAAACCTCCTCCTCCTCCTCCATGTGCTCCAGCTGTGCTGTTTGCTACAGCTGCTCATGCATTCTGCTTGTTAGTATACAGATGGCACTTAACGGTTGTTTATGTGTTTCTTAATTAGAATTAGTTCACACTTTTCTTAAATGAGCTTTGCTTTTCCAACAGTGTAAATGGGCAATATGTGAAGCAAGGCAAGATAGGAGCTGCTGTTTTAGGGAATCATGTCACCAAAGAGGTAGGACAGAATGCTGTGACACACAGTGGTGTTTTCTTTACGAACGAATCTGTTTTGAAACAAATAGTCTCAATCATTATTTGCTATATTATGTGTTGCTGAATTATGTGCTATATCATGTAAAATGGGATCATGGAAGGAACATTCAAAAAGCAACTCATGTAAACACATTAATATTATTATTGTCTTATTTAGATTAGGCAAATAACTTGATTACTGATGTCCATGTAAACACATTCTGTGATTCAACGAAATATACAATAAAGGGCCATTTACTTTATTCCTAATCCTAAATAAATCAGCTGATTGAACAAATCAAATAAATGACTCGATTTAAATGACTTATTAGACATTTAATGTCACCTACTAAAGGGGTTACTTTCTTATTAAGGGCATTATTTCCACATATTAAATAGTAAAGTAAAATGAAATCATCATTTACTCATACAACTTCATGCTGTTTCAAGCCTGAATGAACTTCTTTCGTTCAGAAACATAAAAAAAAACATTAAAAGATAATGCAAGACATGTATATTTATCCAACAGTAATCAGTAACTATGAAGTAAAATGAATCATGGACATTGTAGAGTAAAAGTTGTCTAATAAATGTGTGAGAAATTCTAGGAATCAACCAAAACAATTCTAAAACTCCTGGTTATGTCCAGTTGATGGTTATCTTACATTTTCACAATGTTCATTCTTTTTCATCTGCAATTTTAGTACAAGATTCTGTTGTACGGCAATAAACAAAAGCAGATCACAACGGCTCGAATCCAGCGTGGATTTGTGCTCACGGTGAGTCTTCATTCTGTTCTTTTTTTTATATGTATTTAGTATATTTAAACCAGAAACGAATGTGTAACCCAGGTTACCAACAGAAACAGGATTAAATTAATTAATTAAATATGCTGAACTTATAGTTTTTCTCTTTCTGTTTTGCAAATTACCTTTATAGCCAATTATAGAATACATTAAAATATTTTTTTATCTGTAAAAGCGATCTAAAAGAGTTTAGAATATCATGTGACGTCTTTCCGGTTCCGATCACTGACGCGGGTAGATTTCGCGCGCACTCGCATCGGCGGAGCAGACGAGAGCAGACGCAGATTTAGATTCTCTCTCTACATTAAGTTGTATTGAACTGGAAAATAAGAGATTTTTTGATTTAATGTTGAATTATATGTGTCTAAAGACAATATAGAAGAAAGTGATGCTCGAAGAAACCGTTTATGTGAGTTAAATATAGTTAATGATCGTGACGGAGCTGATTACAAGCAGCCTGGCTAATGTGTAACTAGCTCCATTAGGAGATCGTCTGAAAGGAAACGCGATTAAAGTTAAATGCTGAAAAAGAGAATAAGCAAAAGGATTGAGTGAAGAATTTCTTCGCATTAAAAAGATTAAAAGTTCATCTGGTTTTGGTCAGGTTTTTTTTTGTTGTTGTTGTTTGTTTGTATTATTTTTCCTCCTTTACCTGGATTGGTGCCATCGTTGTGCTCCTGTGTGCTCTGTTGATTTGATGCTGGATTGGGATTGGAGCTTATTGGATTCTGGATTCGTTCTAACTCCTGTGTTCGCTAAAGGGGTTGGGACTGGCGAGCCATACGAACCGAACTTCAAATTGTCATTGTGTGAAACTGATACTTGTTGCCGATCAGGACGGTAGGAAACTGAACTACAAGCACACACAGTCGTTCAATGATTTCTTTTGGGAAAAGGATTCACTCACAGAGGAGAAACTGAGTGACAGACATTTCGTTGTTGCTCCTTGAGATATTTTATATTCACTAAAAAGGTGAATATACACATACTGACTGTTTTTTGCAGGAAAAGAAAAGACTTTTAAGAAACTGAATTTATTGAAAGAAAAGAGGGAACTGTGAAGTGATTACAAGTGAACTGTTTTATTGGTTCGTTATTTCATTTATTGTTGATATACCAAGTGGTAATAGGTTTGGGTTTGTTTATTAGTTTTTTTTAAACGCACAGATTAGAGAAGTAGAAAACATACACAAAATTGAGAAATTAATTCAGAAAATAACTTCTTTAATATTTTATTTAATCAAGATTGAATTCTTTACTTACAAGGGAAATTTGTTTTACTGATAAAGAGTGAAGTTTATTTATTTTTTTTCTGAGAAATTGAAAAGAGTTGAAAGTGAAACCTGTGAAAACATAGGATTATTTTAGTTATATTACATCAACAGTATTGAGTAAAGGTGGTTATACTTACCTAAAATATACTTACCTGTTGAGTAAGTTCTGGATTTGAAACCTGAAATCAAAAGAGAAACATTTGTGAAACATTATTTTATTATTTGATATTGAATATTTTTGTACCTTGTGACAATTTTATTTTTCTTATGATTTATTTGCTGATAAATTGAGACTTTACAATTAAATACAAGACAATACAATCAGTTAAAAAACCTTATTGGTTGTGTGAGTGGTTCATTATTGTTGTGACACCCTGGTTCTCTGCAGACGAATCTAGGCTTCTGATTTCACTGGTCCATATTCAAAGCCTTTCTCAGGAAAGTGTTACAAAAACTTGGCGAGCCAGCCAGGAGAATTTAGAGTGTCATACAACAATAGTGACTTCTCTGTGTGATAGAACAGCGAATAGTTCTACTGACAATAACCATGGATATTGTGAAACATGAGAACGTAAGCGTTTCTGATGCCGTTTTAGTGAGCGGTCTAACGTTATCCGAATCCGATAAAGATCTTGAAGCATGGTTGACACGTTATGGTAGCATCAAACGAACCCTGCTTATTGATAACCCAGCCTCTGAGTTTCATAACCAGGCCATCATAGAGTTTGACAATAGCTCAGCCATGGAAATATTGCGTCCTTTGTTACCATTACGAATTGTGAGTACATCTAATGTAGACACAATTTTTAGCGTGCGCGCTCTGAGCAGTGTTTATTCACAGTCGACTGGTAGCGATATCACTAGAGAGTATTTGGAGGAACTACAAGAAGTCGCTAGACTTAGTGGGAAACCCTTTCAAGAAGTTATTCAGGAGGAGCTAAAGAAACTTAATGCTGCTAGCTCCCTTGCTGAATTCTCTTCCACATCAGACATTGAAAATGATTTTTCAAATTTGATTAATCCTCAGGATCGTCACCCAAAATCTCAATCACAAAATGTAGGCAAAGAGACCACTGTACCCCCGTTGTCAGATAAGGTTTCTTTGTCTAGTGAACCACAACAACCTAAAAATCCAAATTTGACAATGACAGATGAGGCAAATGCAGCACCCACTTATACTGCTTTGCCCATAGACGTAATAAACCCCCCTAACATACAGCGAGTGGTGGTAGAACATCTTGTAAGAACGTCTGATCCTGTATCTGCTCAGCAGATACCAGTGCGCTTGAGGTCATTTTCTGGGAAAACTCCTAGACCGCCTAATGAGCCTGATTTTGATACTTGGAGGGCAAGTGTTGGATTCTTGCTTGATGACCCATCAATTTCTGATTTGTCACGCACCAGAAAAATTTTGGATAGTCTTTTGCCACCTGCCTCAGATGTTGTGAAGCATGTTAATCCCCAAGCACTTCCAACAGTTTATTTAGATTTACTGGAGTCAGTTTATGGGTCAGTTGAAGATGGCGATGAATTGCTCGCAAAATTCATGACTCTCTTACAGAACCAAGGAGAGCGACCATCAAGTTATCTGCATAGGTTGCAAGTGATGCTGAATGCAACGGTGCGAAGAGGAGGCATTTCAGAAGCTGAACGTGACCGCAGCTTGTTAAAGCAGTTCATTAGAGGATGTTGGGACAACCAGTTGCTGGTTAATTTGCATCTTGAGCAAAGAAAGACCAACCCTCCTTCATTTGCTGAACTAGTGGTTGCTATTAGAGCTGAGGAGGATAAACAAGCTTCCAAAGATGAGCGCATGCGAAGCCATTTAGGAACAAACAAGTCCAGTCCAAGCTTCTTTGAGTCAAAAGCTATTGTACATCAACTGTCTGCTCATGCTACTGAAGTAGGAGGAGGTGCACATTGTAAAGTGGAAACAGAGTTAAACACACAACCTGCTCTGCTGAAGACTTTATCATCCAAAAAAGGACAGGCTAAATGTCAGGACACTTTAGAATTCTCATCACTGAAAGCTGAGTTAAATGAGTTGAGAGCTCAGGTCCAGGCTATGGAGTCAGCCGTACCTAAAAGAACCTCCCACATTGATTCAAGTGCTAAAGAACTCGCTGAATTAAGAAAACAAGTAGCAGACTTAAAGGGTCAAATGTTAAATATGGAAGCACAAAGCAGTCAAGCACAATCACTACCAAGTTCTAGGAAAAGGTTTGAGACAACTCAACAGGGTGTATCGAGGTTTACACAGCCCCAAACGAACAGAACCAGTCTAAATCGTCCTCGTGCTGGATACTGTTTTCGCTGTGGTGAAGAAGGCCATGTTGTAATAAATTGTGAGAATGACCCAAATCCATCTCAAGTAGATAGAAAGCGACGACTACTGAGAGAGAAACAATCTCAATGGGATTTGCAGAACCAAGTGAAGTCACAGCAGTTAAACTTCAGGCAATCTCTGGAGTAGGGCATGCAGAGATTGGGACTGAGTTTAAAAGCCCTAAACAGTGTGATCGCTCTAAGAACGTAACTTCAGGAACATTGCCAAGAGGATTGATTGGGACAAAGTGCACTGCCCAGTTGTACATTCAGGGCGTACAGGTGAATTGCCTACTTGATACGGGATCGCAAGTGACCACGATTCCGTCATCATTCCACAAGACGTACCTAGCACACTTACCTGTGAAGCCATTGAATGCTCTGTTACAAGTGGAAGGAGCCAATGGAGGATCTGTTCCCTATCTGGGGTATGTGGAGCTAACTTTAACATTCCCAGAAGAATTCTTAGGTGTGGAAACAGAAATCAACACTTTGGCTTTGGTAATTCCTGATTTGGTTGGAGTTCGACAAATATTAATTGGCACAAACTCTCTTGATGCCTTATATGATGTTCATGTTCTAGAAAGAAATGTCAAGCCCAAGCCAGCTTTCAATGGGTATCGTGCTGTGCTTAACATTCTAAATTCAAGGCATAAGCAGAGGTCTGCAGAAACTCTGGGAAGTGTGACTCTAGAGGTTGACCAAGCTGAAACGGTGCCTGCTGGTGGAACAACAGTAGTTAATGGACTAGTTCGGCTGAACAGTTCTTTCTCTGAAAACCTAGCAGTCATTGGACCATCTCAAGTGTCAAACTTACCAGGTGGAATTGTTATAGCCAGTGGATTGCACCATCTGCCCAGCAAACGTTCATTTTGTGTTCCTGTGCTAGTAGGGAATGAAACTCAAACTGACATTTCAATTTCACCTAAGACTGTGCTAGCTGAAATGTATTCTGTACAACAAGTGATGGAGATTCCTCAGAAGACCATTCCTGTTGATGAATCAAATAAAAAACAGATTGATTTTGATTTTAGTGACTCACCCTTGCCAACAGAATGGAAAAAAAGGATATCTGATTTGCTAAATGCCATGCCAGAAGTATTTGCCCTGCATGATATGGACTATGGCCATACAGACAAGGTGAAACATCGTATCAGACTCAGTGATGAAACACCTTTCAAACATAGACCTAGACCAATACATCCCCATGATATCAGCGCAGTTAGAAAGCACTTGCAAGACTTGTTGGATGCCGGTATAATAAGAGAGTCTGAATCTCCATTCGCTTCTCCAATAGTTGTTGTGAGAAAAAAAGATAACTCTGTTCGGCTTTGTATCGATTTCAGGAAGTTGAACACACAGACCATTAAGGAC